CAATTTGAGTTTGCGTTCCATATTTCCTGTCCTAGATAAAGGTTTTAAAGCTTGTGCTTTCTTATTCAAATGTTTCGATTTTTTTTTAAGCTTTTATTTTCGCTTTTACTTTTCACTACTCAGGTAGTTCTTGAACTGGAGCACCCATCTGATATAATTCCCTTTCTTAGGGAATTAATCTGTTTGGTTTATTTCCTGCCTTCATCTGCTGGTAGGAGGGCAAATTGCCACCTGGACTGGCATGTTCTGGATTTGGAGAAATTAAACCTGCAGGTAAGAAATTATTGGTTTTTCATAGGTAATGGGAAATAATGGGAACGAGAGCTTTTGTTTAGTAGACAAAAAAATCTGGCTAAATGAATCTTTTAGAGAAAGCTTACAGTGCATAAATCTGTGTTTGATGCAGGGGAAATTGGAATTGTTGTGTGGCTGAAAGAAGACCTGGACATCCTAGGTGGTTATTGAGATGAGGCTTTTCAGTTTTAACTTGGTCCCAACTTGAGATGAATATTTTCTTATTTTTGCCCCTCAGAGGTGGTAAAGTTGCAGTACATTAAATGTCCAAAGATTTTATTTCATTTTCATTCTGCATGCAGGAAGCCCACGTGCGAGTTGTCTCTTGTACCCTGTTATAAATTAGTCAATTGAGTCACGCCACAATTTTATGATTCCGAGGTTTGAGAAGCAGCTGCTCTGGAATTCCTTATCCTTAGCAGAGGCTGCTGAGCTGCCCTTAGGAGCGCCAGCCGAAGCAGAACTGTTTGTGGGGCCACATTATCAGTTGTTAYATACGTATCTTTAAGTAAGCATTAAACTTCGACCATTCGGCTGCGAGTTACTCTCACGTGATTGTACCAAAGTGACAGCAAGGGCAGGGTGATGGTGGAGGCAACGTGGAAACAAGCAGTGATTTGTTGGTTGCATTTTATTACTGGGTGTGTATCATACACAGTGATATTCTGCGTGTGCTTCATAAATATCCATAAAATCATAAAAGAAAAATCCTGAATAAGAAAGTCAAAGTCAACATTAATAAGACAGAGCCAGCGAACCCGGGTGGAAGAGAGTGTTTATCAGAACATTTTACTCATCTCACCTTTCCCTACCTAAATACACGGTTTAAGGACTGAAAGTCACAAGTTGGCAGTGGCATTTCTGTGATGAGCTCTATAAAACCGATGTTAATACTGTGCTCTTCCTTTGACTCCTTGGATCCTAGTAAAGATATTGAAAAACCTGCAGGGAGCTAATATATCTCTGCTTGAAGCAGGCACTTAGGAGTAAGTTGGGAGTAAGTTAGTATTGATGAACATTGATGAACTAGTGAATCATCAGTATTCTTTGTAACAGGCAGGAACTCATTAGCAGAACCTTTTAAATGAATCTTTTGTTTTCTAAAATGAGCCTGTTAATATTGGATCTTGATGTAAGAACACAAATATGCCTGTGTAGTTAGTTATATGGAGCCAAATATTTGTTTGCATTTGATGATATATTGTAGTATTAAGAATATTGTTCTCATTTTTTTTTTCTAGCAAGCTACTAGCAATTTGAATTTGTGTGTAGGTGGCCTTTCTTTTGGATTTTTTTGTTTGAAAGGAGCTAAGAAATATGATAAAATTTAAACCTCAAAACTTTAAGAAAATGAGCGGAAAACATCACACTGCATGCTTCATATATTTAAAACACTGAAAAATTTAAAATCTCAGCATTTGTGTATGCTTTGCTCTTTTTGCAAATGTGCTTTATGGGAAATCCATGCCACACAAAAGCAGAAATAGTATTTGATTGCTTGAAAAATAATTTGCTGAAAGGAGATCCTGTCTCCAGTGTGGCAGGTTCCTCTCTCTAAACAGGCCCCAGCAAGAGTTCTGCTGGGTTTCCCACACACCCTGTGCTCGAGGTTGTGGTAAGCAGGTCAGCAGTTACGTCCAAAGGAATTAAAAATTGCCTTTCTCTCTGCCATCTTTTTCAGTATTTATTGATACATACTTTTAATAATATTTTTTCAGAACTTTAATGTGAAGTTCTTTAGAAAAGGATATGAAGTTACTTTAGAAAAATATTTGTTGGTATGAAGATTGCTCAGGGCAAAAATGTTGGGAGCAGGGAAGAAGTAATTATTTCCTTCCTGTGGGTCAAAATTGAACTTCTAAAGAGTTCTGAAGCAGTGATGAGGCAGAGATTGAAGCAGTCCTCGGTACAAAGGGACATTCAGTCTACTTGAAGATTACTAAGATTCTTGTCTTATTCAAGTATGATTTTGTAGGGAGAAGAACATTTTCCACTTAAATAATTTGAAATTATTCAGTCTTTTCCTAAAAATGCGGGTTTTTTTGTCTCTAGAGACACCTCTTTTGGAGAAGATGCGTTTGATTCATTTCCTACATGAACATAGTTAACTGAATGCTGTTTTTGTTGGTTCATCTRATGGCTGGGAATTGGTAATATTTTGGTCAATATTAATACACAGGGTAAATTAGACAAGCTAATCTGTAGGCTTTTGTCTTTACATTTCTGAATCTTTAACATTTCCAGAGAAGAAGGAGGAACAGGAGGTGTTGTACAGCAAGTTCAGAACTTGCTGTATTGGTTGTTTTTGTGGTTACCTTTAACTYCTGCAAGTGGTCCATAGAGTGCAAGGGCTTCCAGACCACTGAATCTCTTCTGGAGAGCCTCCTAGGCAACTGATATCATTTGTGAGATTATCTTCTCATCTGTGATATTTGAATTATTTTTTGCCAGTATGGGATGCTGAACATGTCTATGGTCTTAAGGGAACTCCACCTGTTGCAGAACTGAGCTGCTTTATCCTTTGCCAATAGGACTGTGAAAGTGTTGGAAAGGGCTTTAGGTAGAAATGGTACCAGTTAGTGCAGATGGGGAAGAAAAGCTTGCAGCTTTCAGACAGCCGAGAATTTCTTCAGGCCTAGAACGGGCAAGTATAATGTGCCATACATCAGTTCAATCCTTCTGCTCCCTTAATAACTTGTCATGTATTGATATGTATTCTAACTGCTCTCCACAAACCTRCCAGTGCTCCTCGCTCTCATCAGGTTGGCCCAGGTTACCCTCCTGGGTCTCACTGCACACAGGGCCTTCTCTTCCRGAGCACCTCTGGTGACCTCAGGAATGTTCACTGTCCTCTCCATGTGCCAGCCACCTTTCCCTGATAATTACATGTTAATGACCTTGTTCTCATCTTTAATTTCGCTTTCAAGATTGTTACTTCAAGCCTGAGGTAAAGACTCGAAAAAAACCCACTATCAATAGGAAGCTATTTTATGGAAATCTGTTTAAAATTTGAGCTGCCTACTTGTGATTTTCAGGATTATTCGTGTGATGTTTATAGATTTTGTTCCATATAAGTTACGCTTTGGGAAATCCTTTGCTTAAGATTCTCTATAAAATCTTGGCTTTTGAGTCATGCTAGTGGGCCTGCAGTCTTTTGGGTCGCTCTGGTTCTCATGGTTCTTGCCAAAATCTGCCCGTACGGAGGCAGCTGCCTCTCCATCCTTCTTGATGCTGTAGAAAACAACTGCAGGAGGATGAACACATGAATATTGATAGGGCTGAAAGAATAGGCGGGATGACCAGCAGCCTGCCAGCARTATCTTATCTACCTTCTTAATGCATACAGTGTTTTTACTGGATCCTGTGCTTATGCTGATTTTAAATACTCAGTTATTTTTACATTTTTTTTTTAATGTTCCAAAGGAAAAGCTTACTGTAAGAAAGTTGATGGTTTACTTGCATGGAAGTTGGGAAAAATTATCATCTTGGGATGAGCTTTGGAAATAATCTTGTTCCCAGTGGTGCTTCATCACCTTTTCTTGCAAAATTGCTGCGTATCCCTCTTCTTTCTCACCCATTGAGTTACTCACTGAACTTGCTGTTGTCCTCCCGTGTCCTGTGGGAGATTTTGGCCCTCTGGGTGGTACTGGGTGCCCCTGCTTGAGGTTCTCCTCAGAGCTGTGTGAGTGCCACTGGAATCAAAATTACATGGTAAAAATAGATAGGCTGGCAGTATTTCTTGTGAATTCATGGCGGGGTGTGTTTACCATCACTGGTTATTTAATTTTCTGTGCTTTTGGCATATCAGATAGCAGGGTGGCATTTGACTTGAACTCCTGAGTACATAGTCAGCATGGACCTACAGTGACAGTTATTGCTTCAGACCACATGTGTTCCAACGTGGCATAAAGCAGCACTTGGGAACTGGCCGAGCTTTCTTGGCATTGAGGATTTACAGACTTTTTGGTTTTATTGTTTCTGAAGTTATGCTGCAGAGCTGTACACTGCATATTGCCAGGATTATTGGGAAAAGTTGTCTCTGGGCCAAGGAAAATCTTATTTTGGACCCCGAAGACCCAGGAACCTCCCCTACTTCTGCATGACTTTTTATGCAGTTAATTTCCCATCCTGGTAACTGTCTAATTTCCAGAACTTTAGGAAACCAAATCGTTCTGCTTTGTGGGAATGATGAAGATTTACTTAAGCATCTGAGCTAGTCAGTTAACACGTTTTCAGTAACTTAGAAGATTAAATTGCTAGAAACTGTGAAGCTATGGGAAATGGAATAGCTACAAGTTGTATTTTACCATGAAGTTGGAGTTAACAGAGCTGTTAGTCTGTTCCTCAAAAACTCAAAGCTCTCGTGGGGTGGATTAAACTGTAAAAATGTGGAGGGGAAAAAAGCATCATGTTACCGTGCAAGGTATTTTCTTGTTAATAAATATCATACAGGCAGAAAGCATCTTTAAAATGCTTTAAAATTGCTTCTGTGGAAAGTAGGTTGTTTCAACTCTCTGCTCCTAAGTACATTTTTGTTTACAAGCTGCTTCCCACGGAAAAAGTTTCATAAAACTGTTGATGAAGTGCTTTATGAAATTGCAATCGGACAGTCACTCAAAGCAGAACAGGCACTTGGGCAGGACTGCTTGTTTTTCTTAATGTGACGTATTTAGTGGAGTGATATTTAGCGTTTTCCATTTTCACAGGACTGTGCTGAAGAATAATGATTTGAGATCAAGACAGGAACTGACGACTCACCTCACCAATCAGTGGCCTTCCCCAGGAGCTCTGGACGTTAATGCTGTTGCCTTGGACACTCTGCTCTACAGAAAGCACAACCAGCAGTGGGATGAGTAAGTTCAATGTCTGTTTTGTTCYTTTAAAGGAACAGAAAAACTCAGTTTTATGTTTCCCGTACCAAACTCCTAAATGTATCCTGTCCAAATTGGTCATTAAAATGGACAATTAGCAGAAGTTTTTCTTTCTGTAAGATTTTCCTTTTGTGGGGATCAATCAAGATTTTTTTTTCATTGTTTTAGAAGGAAAAAAACAGTGCTTTAGGAAACACAGAAGAAATAGAGAAAGTCTATGAGACAGAAAAGATTTACTGTGAAATTAAAAAAAATACTTTTTTTTAAGTTAAATTTTTTAAATGCATTACTATTAAAAATTATGACTTGTRTTACAGGAAAAGTTTTCAAAGCTTGGACCAGCTCTCAGCAGATGTTAGTCTTTCTCAAACATCTCTGGATCCAGGTCACTCCCAAGATGGAAAGCAGGATGGACTGAACTTGCTAAATGAAGGTACGGTGCCTGTCTGGTGCCTTCATTTTCTTTCATTCCTCATAGCTCTCATACCCAGGCTCTGCGCGAGGAATCTTCAGCAGGAACAAGGAAGACAAGTGAGGACTTTTACCTCTGTTTCTCCAAGGACTCTATATAAAAGAAGGTTGCATATATTAAGAGTCCCAGAAAGGAAAGTAATTACARGACTTTGCATGGTTTTTAAGGCTGTTATTTAAATATGTTGCATATCTTCCTTCTCCATCGCAGAACCAGAGACAGTTTCAAGTAGGATCTTCCATCTATCCTGCTATAACTAGCATGAATATTTGAGCCTTTAAATTTCCTCCTTGTTTGGGTTATTCCAGAAGCGATCCCAGTTCAGCTTCCTTCAGGAAGGCCTTTGCAGCTACTCCTCACATGCTTCTATCTTGCATTCCTATATCTGCAGAGATGCAGGTTGATGCTGCTGCCCTGAAAACCAGGAGAGGAAGCTGCTGCAGACGGTGGCAGTCCCTCCTTACAGTATTCCACTGCCTTCCGAGTCTGCCTGTGTGTCAGAGTCTGACAGCTCCATCTCRTGGACTGTGGTGAAAAGCAGAGAAATGCTCTAAGGCTTGAAGCTCTGCTGTTTTGGCTAAGGAGTCAAAATAAGTATAAACAATTTTTTTTTATTTTTTTAAAATCTCATTATACATTAGCTTGGAATATTCTCTGCAGTATGGAGCCTTAGTAGTTCATGACTCTAAAATTTCGTATTTTTAAAATACGAAGGATGGCAAATTTAAAACATCTTTTTAGTAAAAAAAAGTTTAAATCTCTTTCAATTTAGTTTAGAAAAAAGTGAAATAGAAATGGCATGGTTATGATGAAGAGAAATCTGCAGCAGATCTACTCTCAGCTTTTTTTCAATTCTGATATTTTATCTTTTGTGAATTATGATGTGGCAAAAAATCTGATAGTGTTTTAGGTGTTGATTTCAGGGCTCTAAAAGCAGCAGGATGCCTCACTTTTAATTAAGTGAGGTCCATCACCTAAGGTTTAGTATAACTGGGTTAAGTCATAGTATTGTAACAGCAAGATCATGTTCCTCTTTTTCACTTCCTAATATGGCAGTTTAAAAGAGTGAAAATAGTRAAAGGTCCTACCAAGGGAGGTGCATGATCTGCTTCATGAATCAGGTTTTAGTTTTAGAGCTGCTGAATTTAGAGCTTGTATCTAAAGTGTATTATACTACTCTGTGTCCTCCATGGTTTCTAAAAGTTATTTTTTTCCGTGTAAAAAGATTTTTCTGGCAGTTAAGAGTTGAAAAGGGCTGATCTAGTTTGGTTTTTAGGAAAACCGTTCAGTCGTTGAGACAAATCTTGGCAGAAGTGAGACCCAAAATGTACAGCAAACTGCTAATAATGCAAAAGAACTACATGCCACTTATTTTCCTGTGGGATTGTTGTTTTCCTTACATCCTGCTTGAGAAGTAAAATTTTTCTGCCAGGAACATGAGATGCGGTTTTAGGTAACACCACTTTATAGAGTTTTGGGGTTTTTGAAACCCTGCTGGATGGGGTTCCCAGCCTCCATCCATTTCGAGTCACTTTTCAAATCTAGTTTTCGTCGCCTGTAGGTGGTTATCTTGGCATTTCTGTCCCGCGGGTGACCCCGGAGGGTGGAACAGGGAGGGGTTGTGGGACGATTTCTGCAGCCCGTTGGGTACCAGCCGGGCAGACACCTGCGGGGTCATGGGGCAGCGCGGGAGGGAGGGCACGCGCCACRTGCAGAAACTGCCTGGGTAGTTCCAGACCTGGAAGGCTCTTTCCGGTTGAACTGTAGGTGCTTTTGGAGAACGGATTAGGTAACTGCACTGCTGCTATTGCACTGGGGGTCATCTTCAGKAGTGGAATTTTAGCACCCTTCAGATTAAGCAAGAAGGGTGGGAGGGAAAAATGAGGCACGTTCCCTGTTAAGGAAATAAATCTGCATTCCTGTTAATTTGGCTTCTTTCTCAGGGAGTGCAAGCAGGGGGTCTCCAGGGGTGTGCTGCCGCTTGCATTTACAGCGTGTTCGGTTAAAAGAAGTGCTGGGTTTGGTAGCTCTTGTTTGCCACGTGGTCGGTGGAGCCTCTGCACAACAGGGACCTCAGCCCAGCCCAGGAGCTGGGCCCCCAGTCTCTGCCCCAGCCAGGCAGGAAAGGGGCAGAATAGCTGATACCCCTTCTCAAACCATGTTTGTGCAGTATGTGYGTGCTGCAGTGGAAACAAGTAGTTCATAACGGGGGACGTGACCCTGTGTTCTCCCTTGCTTCAGTWTCCTGTGGTCGGGTAAGCTCGTGTTGTGCAGCAGTGACTGGCTTAACCCCTGGTTTTTCTCACCAGGGAAGGAAGACACCCCGTCACTGCTTGGCCTCTGTGGTTCCCTCACTTCCGTAGCAAGCTACAAATCTCTCACCAGTCTGAAGTCAAGTGAATATCTCGCAAGTCCCACGACAGAGATGACAAGTCCAGGCTTAACTCCGTCTTGAGCAGATACACACGACACCGAGGAGCTTCTGTGCTGTATGCGTTTGGTTATGTCCTGTCATACGACCTGCAATGAGGACTGCTCRTTCTAAGTCAAAAAGAATATGCTGCTTCATTTTGGGGGGTTTTTTTGCACTTCCCTGTTTAGTTCACAGAAATGTCAGTTTTCATTCTTCCTTCTCCAGAGGACTTTTTCAAAATTTCTCTCTAGCCAGACATGATTTAAAACTCACCGTCAGGTACAGGATATAATTTGAGGCTACGACTGTTTTTTCTAAAACGAAACAGTTGGAAGTCAGTCCCCTACTTAACTGTCATGTCCTTTCTTCTTCCTTTAACAGCAAACTGGCTGGCTGCACTCCAGCCACGGTGCTTCTTTGCAGTGCTTTAAATATCTGTCGGCTCCTGCAGAAGAGACAGGGACTCCTGAACTTCCGTCTTTGTAAGCAAATGAATATTTCACTTAGAAATACAGCTTTCTGTCTGCATATGTTACATAGGACCTCAGCTTGCRTATTTAATCTATCAGTAGGTCTCCTCAAGTTGAGCATTGAATTTGCATTCCAGTTATCAACATCGTAGCACTTAGGAGCTGTATGAGTCACAGTGAAAGATCACCCTGAAACATCTCTTGATAATTCTGGCAGTTGCATGAGAGTAACAAGTGCAAGTTCATCATCTCAACCAGGCAAACTTAGCCATTGGTACGTGCTCAAGCAGCTTGCTAAATGCTTTCGAGTGACCTGAGCTAGGGATAGTATAKAATTATGAGAAACATCCTGATTTATTGGCATTGTGTTGCCTTGCTGGAAAGATGGGGACTGAGTTTATTGGGAATATCCCGGGGAGCGTGACAGAAGGGGGAGCAATGAAAATGCAAACTCATTGCAAAATGCAAAAACACATGAGTATTCTCATGTGAAAGAGTTTTCTCATTCCTGTAGTAGGGCAATAGGTCTTTTTCTTAATTAGGTAATATGCTAGAACTTATTTAAATCAGTGTTCTCAAATGGTTTGTCATGGATTTAAATTACTGATACGAATTACCTGCGACATTTTTTTAAATAAAACAAACTTTACAGATTACCCGCCAGTTTCAAAGTTTGCAAATTAATTTTTTAATTGCAAACTRTATTATTCTTAATTCTTTATAAGATATAATGAAGCCTTTATCTATGAATTTTGCTAATCTAGGTAATGCATATCAGTCCGATTGGTAACTTTTTAAGCAAAACTTAAGTGCATGTATGTTGTATTTATAAGTGCTAGGGAAAATGCTTTTTTGTGCCAAAGAAGTTTCATAAATTGTTTACATGAGTAGCTGCAATACTCCGAGATCTTAAATCCTTGCTTTCTTGTAGATGTTTACAACACATCACCACACGCCGTTCACTTGTAGTTGCTTTGCCTCTTGTTCTGGTACCCCTGGCACTACTGCCCTAGGCTGGCCGTTTGCAGGGGGGCAAAAGGAGGAGGGTGCAGCCTCACCGTGCCTAAAAACCATGGGAATGGGCAGCCTCCGGGAGCACAAACCTCCTCATGGATGCAGGAGGCTCGAGAGATTCTCCTCGACTCTCCAGGCCCCAGTGCTGCAAGTTACTGCACCCAGGGCAGGGTAGAGCAGCTACTGATGCCTTTTTAGTGCAGTCTTTTACAGCAGCACAGCAAAATCCACCAGACCTTCAAGCCCTCATGTGCCGACCCCAGTGAATCAGTCTGTGTAATAAATTCTGACCATTAAGTCTTCTCCTACACCGTCGGAATGTCTCTTGCTTCCTGAAACAGCCTTTTTTTAGTTATTGCATCAGGTAGAGAGAAATTGCTGTTCTCTCATGGCAGTTCAGTAGTGTTGTTACYTACTCATTTGTAAACTAGAGATGTGTTTTTACTACAAATCCAGCGAGGGAATCGGGATGGCCGGAGTCAACGTTCCCCATCAAGGTACAGTGATTTCATCCCTCTTGTTTGCTGTTCAGCTCCTCTCCCACTGCAGCAATGGCTTGGAGGGGGCTGTAATCATGATTTTCAGTCATGGCAGCGGATGGCTCTTTTCTTGGAGCTACTGGTGTGAAAGTTAAGTGTCATTTAGCTTAAGTCTTTTATGTAGTCTGATATCACAATGAGTTTGTGTCATTTGTGCATGAGAAGTCGTTTGTGTGTCTTTCTCAGTTTAAAACATTATTAATTTTAAAAAAGATGAGAAAAATGCCAAAATTGTATGTTTTGCTGCCTTGATGTCCCATAAATGTTGCATGTAAATTAAACATTTTGTATCATCAGTATTCGCTAGTTTTTGTCTCTGTTTTAGACAGTATAAAGACCACTTGAAAAATTACACTGTTGGTGAGATTGCTCTGTTTCATTCAGCATGGTCCAACATTTCTTTCTCTTATACTAGGGACTCAAAATAAGGCCTGGAATTATTCCGTAAATCATAATAGAAGATGAATTCCAGCTCCTCCAGCAGTATGACCTGCTGTAAACATCATTCCTCCTGTCTTCACACATGGCGTTTTCAGCACACGCTAGATTTTCAGGAAGGCRGACGCACCCTGGGGTTCCTTGGTCATAGCAGAACAGGATGGGGTCCATTTCTTGGCTCCAACACAGCAAAAATCTGTGTATTCAGGCCCTGATTATTGAGTTGCCACGTGAGTCTTTTGGTTGCTTTGGTGCCAACAAAAAATAAGCAAAAAAAAATCAACCACTATCTTGAACATGCATGAAAGGAAGGCTGCAGTGACAGTGGTTAAAATAATTTAAAGGTCATTAAGAGRAAGCTCTGATTCACTCACACACAAAGAGCAAGAAGATGCTGAGCAGTTTGTGCCGCGTGTGCAACGCGCAGGCTCCACATCCAAGGGCAGGGCCTTGTCCAAGCTTCCTGCTCCAGCAGGGACACCCASAGCACAGCGCACAGGGCGGCATCCAGGCGGCTTTGGAAGATCTCCAGAGAAGGAGACTCCACAGCCTCCCTGGGCAGCCTGTGCCAGGGCTCTGGCACCCTCACAGTGAAGAAGCTCTTCYTCCAGTTCAGGCTGATTGTCCCCTGCTTCAGTTTGTGGCTGCTGCCTCTTGTCCTCTCGCTGGCCAYCGCTGAAAAACTGCCATGGATGCACGTGTGTTTGCACCTGCCAAAGTGGCCTTCAGACCTGAGGGACTTCGTCCATCCTGCGGCTGGGGGCTCTTCCTCCAAGGCTGCTCCCGCCACGGGGACATGGAGGTCCCTGCGGGATCAGGAACAAGGGGCTGTGGATGATTCCAGGAGAGCTGCCCTTGGCACCCGCACAGCCACGAGCGCTGCCGTAGGCTCCAAGCCCCTACAGGGACCGTCAGCGCCGGCCCCGGCTCCCCGAGGCACTAAATGGACACTAAATACACTTTTTCTCCCCAGTTTTGGTTAAAACTTTTTCTCTTGCAAATGTAAATAAACCTAGGAAGACTAATTTAGACTAGTTTAGAGCATGCATTTGTGCGAAACACAGAGCTGCAAATACCAAACATACAGAGAATAAAGCATTTATTAAGCAAGAATAAATTAGAATTTATTGAATTCGTTTTGTATCATTCTCCTTGTGAAAGATAGAATTAATTCACACAGTGGAAGCCTAAAATATTTTCTAAACATTGTTTTAAATATCTCTCAAAAATGTTCAGTCAGACCGAAAACACATTACTGCCATTTTGGTAAGTTCTGTGGGGGAAAAAGCACTCTGCTTTTCCTAAATGGGCAGGGATATTCTTTATGGATCTCCCAGTGAAAACTCAGATTACTCTCATTCAAACATATGCCTTATTTTTTAATTCAGAAATGCTGTTCTTAAGTACTGCAGAGCTTATCTTGGCTTGGACAGAAGGTAGTTTAAGGATACAGAATTCTCTCCCTATAGCACCCAACCCCTCAAATTCCTGTAGGTTTTGGGTTTTTTTCTGGCCAGGGGAACGAGAAGTCTCGAATGAGTGGAGTCTGCACAGCAGACAGATTAAACTTGATGTATTCCCAGCTTACGTGACACAAGCAAAGGCAACAGCTCGAGGCTTTCCACAGGAGGGTGAGAACAGAAACGATTCTCATGGAGAGACTTCAGCTCAGAATTACCCTTCCGCTTCCAGCTGTGTGACACCCCCCACCACTTCAACCACTTTCAATTGACAACCTCAGTCACAAGGAATATTTTTCAAAGCCAACTGTGAAAGCTTTTTATGGGCCTCGCTGTGTTTTGGATTTAATGTGCATACAAGACTTAAAATYAGTTAAAAATAGATCCACAACACATGGAGAACATGTAGCAGATGCATTTCTATGGCTTTCTCTTGCAAGTTTTCTGGAAATACCAAGGGTCAGGCTCTTTCTTGGAAAGTTAATCTCTACTTCAAGTGATAAAACGGGGAATACGTTTCCTGCAAAATGTGACCTTCCTTTTTAACCTGCTGGAGTTCCAGGTCAACAGGATTGGCATTACATGACACACAAACTGAGAGACTGAAGTGAGAAACTCCAGTTTATTCTAGGTTAATTCAATATTGCTGTATTGGTGAGTTACAGTGTATTTCTATTTCAATTCATCAAAACATAAATCGTCACCAGGTACTTGATGGCAATTTAGTAGTACGCTGCCACCCTCAGTGACCACAGATACACTCTATTATGTTTAGTAAGAGCACAGGTACAAGGACAAACACTGTTTAATAGGACAAATGCTTCTAGGTGCATGATTAAGCATTCATAGGAGACTTCTTCTTTCTGCTTACAATTTGAACAGAAGTCCACAAAAAAACCTTATTTACCTATCTCTGCAACTTCTCCTTCTTTCTGCTTACAGTTTGAACAGAAGTCCACAAAAAAACCTTATTTACCTATATCTGCAACAAGTTGCTCAGGATAAGGCTGAATTACAAGACAGAAACACTCCTCGTTTGCAGCGAGGGGCTGCCCCAGGAGCAGCGGCCGCGGTGCCCTCCGCTGCTCTGCCCCTCTCCGTTTCCTTCCCTCCAACCAGCCCTGAGGAACCATCAGAGCGTCGCTTTTCTCCCTCTGCTCACAGACGAAGTCACAACATCTTGAACGACAGTTTTGGGGTTACGTGCATATGTGCATTTTCTTACACTGAACCAAAAAGCCTTGAATTTATGTTCTGTGAAAGAGTTGTGAAATGAGGTTGTGTTTAGTTACCAAATCCAACTGTAGCTGCAGTTGCCTGGATATTTGGCACAACTTTCGCCATCTCCTTGGACTGCACAAGGCCAGAGGATGGAGCACTAAGGCTGCTGGTTCTCTCTCTCATTTAAGTGACGGAAGAAAGTCTTCCCGTATTCGTAGGTGCTGATCATGATGGCGCAAGCCGGAGCGACTTTAACGAGCCGTGGCACCAAACCTGCCCAGAGAGACCAAGGGCAACACTCACTGTGGCAGGTTGGRGCGCGCCGCGCCGCACCTCGCTCCGGAGCCGGCACCGCTGGGATCACGGGAGYGCCGGGATCGCAGGTGCCGGCCGCCTCGCAGCGGACACAGTCACCGCCCGAGCACCGCCACCGATGGCCCTGTCCCCGTCTCAGCTTCCCTGCTGGCACAAGCAGAGACTCGTGGCCTCCCGGCTTGGAAGGGCCTGAGGTGCCAGAACAACCAGGTCCTGACAGGGGCGGGCAGCGAGGGAAGGGCCCCGGCACCACGTCAGTCACTGCCCTCCGAGCTGGGGGCTAACAGATGAAGGAGGCCGATTCCCCCGCCGGTGTCTCCCAAGACCTGCTGGCCCTTTATTAAAAGTTAATGCAGGTGTCAAGGGTGTCTGGTCACCATCARCGGAGATGCTGTGAGCAGCAGGTGGCAGCTCGGCCCCAGGGAGGCAATGGGGGGCAGCTCCACGTCGGTGGCCACAGGCACCTAGTGCCATAGAAAATGCTGAGGTATCTTCGTGGAGCTAGCAGAGATGCCACAACCCATGGAAAACCCGTGTCCTTCTGGAGGGGGAGCAGGAGGCCAGGCAGAAGTGCCCAGGGTATCATCTCAAATGGCACCTTCTACCCCTCTGTGGACACCTGAGCTGAGCCCATGATCCATCACAAGGKGGTCTCCACACTTCACTCGTCACTTGTCAAAGGCTACTAGAGGTCGGTAGCCTAATCTGTGAACCACCTTCCACCCAAAACATTCAGTACTTTGTAACACTGTGTGCGTGTGGTCATTTCTTCTGGTATCAGTGTCTGAAACCCTGTTCAGATCCCGTCCCCCACTACGATAGCACTGCAGCAACTAAAGCCATTTAATTGCTTCCCTCAGAGAACACAAGCAGAAGTCCGGCACGTCTTTGGCTGGCTGTGCAGCCATTCACAGGGGTCCTGCACAGTGTTGTCAATGCTCCTAAGCACTGGCTTTGCTTTTGGACYGACTCTCACAGTGGTTCATGTAAAGGCCTGTTCTGCAAGGCTTATTGTCATGGGGTCGTGTTGGAGCTTTCTCTTTAGGCTGCCAGAGTCACACGTGGCAACACACGTGCATTGGAAAGGACTTGTGTGCAGGGCAGCAACACAGGGCCACTCCAGCCAGAAACAGCAGCCTGGGCCAGCAGGGAGAGCTCTTGAAGACAGGATGGCAGAGGGGAGTCTCCTCCCTGGCAGCCTTCGGGAAGGGCCCTGAGGCCTCTGAGCAGCATCAGGTAAAMGCACTAGGGGAGTTTAGGGCAGCTGAGATGAGTATCCTGAGATGGCAGAGGGAAATGAGGAGCATCATGTTCATCTTACGTAGCTGTCACCTAGTAGCTTGTAACAGATCACCAAAATTCTCTCCATAGGTATGCATGGCTGTCACTGGGTATGTATACTGACTATACTGTAACTGAGTGTTCATGTGTGGAGATACAAGTTAATTCATACATATTAATTTTTCTAATCTCTTCATGATGATTAAGTATATTTTGAGTTTAAAAAAAGATATATTGAAAGATTTACCAGCAAATAATCCAGCGACTCCATTTTCAGCGACAATTCTCCTCAGAACTGCCCACACCGACGTACTGCTCCTCTGGGGAACTCAACAGAGCACAACAGAGCAGTGAACTACGCACCACGCAGAGTGTCACCGACAAAYACGTTGCGATTCAGTTTAATTCATCATACATTCCTTTTATCCATCCTATTTATGTCAAACTTATTCAGTACACAAATCACAGAAACTTCACCTCAAAACAGCATGGCATGCCAAGGTAAAACATAGTAACACCTGGAATAAGATACATGGAGAGAGGTGACATCCCTTACTAGCCCTAACTGGTACAGTTGAAAAAGCCAGCCCAGCAGGCGAGCAGGGCAGATCCCTCTCCATTTCCCACCATGGCTGCAGCTGTATAACTCATGAGCARCCTTCCTGCTGCAGCTGCAAGCAGCAGCCAGCCTTGCAGACACAAACACCCCTTTCAAACAGGCACCTTTTTGCCCTATCTCACCCTGCACACGCACTGATCTCTAACACTCAAGTAACTCGGAAACTTCTTTCCAGGTGAAAATTAAARCAAATTAGAATATTAGAATATATTCAGCTGGAACATTCTATAGAATCTGATCTAATCATTATCATTATGAAATAAAATGCTTGTGAGAGTGGAACTACAGGTATTCTTGGTTTTGTTTTCTAGAAGTACATGGGAGTGGAGGTACAAATATTTTCTCATGTGATTTTCACCAAATCTAAAGTATTTTCCAATAAAACATTGTCCAAAGGAATATTTTCACATGGAAGAGAGYTTAAGACAGCTATTTAACAATCTAATTCCTGACAACTTACTTTTTAAGGTCTCACTCTCCCAAAGTTCAGTCTGCCTATGTGTTTTCACTACATCAAATGGTAGAGTTATRACAGCTGCAATCTATTAGGAGAAAAATATCTATTCAATGTTACAGCAATTGAATTTAAAAATTTAAAGTGCATKAAAGTTAAAACTAGATTTGATATTTCAAGCACCTGATATTATTAAAACCCTGTATTTCAGAACATTGTAGATTATTCAGGTACATCTAGTTGGCTTGAACACCAGGTCATTAATGTTTAAAACAGATGGATCCAAAACCACACACTATTTGTGAGAGAATCCTGTAAAACCATACTAATTTCAAATAGTTTAGCATTGATATCATAAAGAGTAGTATTAGAAACAAAAATATCTACTTACAGAGCCAGATGCTGCTCCTGAAGTGAAAGCAATAAGGAATGTTGATTCATGTGCACCAACTTTCTTGCACATCATCTTCTTGAAACGTTCATAATTATACCAATATATTGCTAGGGTAATTAAAAAAAAATGCACCAAATATCACAATTTTATGTTAAAAAATAAATTCACCTAATTGCTAAAAGGCAGTGGGTGCCTGTTAAGCTCTACCTCACCTATCTACCTCTCCACCTCTCCAGCACCCACTACCTCCGTGGTGAGCAGGGCACAGACAAGTGCCAGAGGAGTCTGGAGAATGACTTAAAGTCAGCGGGGAGGTTCTGGGCTGAGGGAGGGACAGTCAGGAATCCTGCAAAGGATGCAGGAATCTGCAGGTGTGCAGAGAAAAGCAGAGAGAGAAAACACACATATCAGTTCGGTACCCCCTAGTGCTCTTTGTGCACCTGCAGTCCCTTGCAGTGCTCTGATCTTCCACTGTTAAAAGCTGAGGGGAAGGAAGATCATGAGCTCCTGTCCTATTGCTACAGACTAAATCAGTAAGACAACACGAGTTTCTTCATGAAATTGGACTACAAGGATTAGAAAGAGAATTTTAGCTTCCCCTTCATTCCCATCAAAATTCTCTTTCTAATCCTTATTGCTTCCAAGGAAAGCAGAACAGCCTAAGAAAAAAATTGGGGCAATGCAAATTTGTGGGACAGGGAGGAGAGCACAAGCGACACCACTTGATTCTGTGAAGTTCAAGCTTTATTTTATTAATATCAAAAAGTTAAAGCAATGACTTCTATCTACWGCACGGAAGGAGACCCTAGCAGATAAGAAGACTTTTCTTCTTGTCTTGAGTTGTTTCCGAAAGTCTCTATTATACGTTATGTATTGAGTGGAGTAGCAGTTTCTCAATGTGCAGGTGGAATACATTCCTAACCTCAAAACAGATCTTCTCAATCTGACCTGGGCCGCTTTGGGAGGCCTGAGATAGACTATATTTTGAATAACTTTGTTGTTATCGATCAGACAGATCCCCACTTGCAARTTCTGTATCTACTCTTTTGGACACAGTTTGTCCTGGATATAATTCTGGTTCTGCAAGATAAAACTAAGTGGGTGCAGAACCACAGGATTCCCAAGCAAAGATGCTTTGGAGGCACAAGACTGTGGTAACAGAATAGAAGAGTGAAAAGGTCCTGTGCATGGGGACCAGATTCCACTGCCATTAGTGAAATGCTTTTTGGAAAGCAACCAGGGTCATGAGACCACTGGGTGAAATACTTCAAATACTTCAAAGATTCTCTGCCTCCAAAAATGGGCCTGAAGGATTTTCCTGGACTAACACATGGTGCTCAGAGTGTTACTGTTTCCATCCAAAGGCAAGAAAGTGCTTCAGGTTCACCACTCCTTGGAAGATTCCCAAGCGCTGTGGGAACAGGGCATCCCACCGTGCCTCAGATACCTGCTTGTCCCCACAGCGTTCCCGAGCCGCTGGCTCCCACCAGTGGCAGCAAGTGGGAACATCGTCCTTGAGCACTGTGCTCCTCCAGTGACCTCTGCAGCTCAGGAGTGAGCAGAGCTTGGACAGAAGGGCACAGGGTGATGTCCTCTGCCCCAGTTATCTCCATGTCCTTCCTCTATAAGGAAAGAGCTGCTCTGTCTCTTGCACTCATCTCAACATCTCAACTGGAGAGGTAGTCTGTGAAAACAGTTATTGCTAAGGATGGGAGGAAGCAGTATAAACAGGCAAAGGGAATGTAACAATGACTCACAGCTGGTGCACACAAACAAAACTAAAAAAGCTTCACATCCTTAAAGACCCACAAACCTTAAAGGGGGAACAATGGGTAAATCTCATTTTTTCTTCATTAAGTCATTTCTTCATTAAAGTCACATAAAAATAAGTCTACAGGAGTTCATGAATAAACAAATGCTCATATCCCGCTCAAGCCTGCACGTGCAGTACTTTCCCACCTGAGAAAGGCACATCCCTGAGCACGGTGGAGCTCCAGCCTCTCCACAGGGAAAGCCAGCCGTGGCGGRCCACCTCGCTGCGCACGCACAGGTGGAGCTGCCGGTAGGACAACGGGCGGGACCGCATCCGCGTCCGGAGCAGCTCCAGGGGGCTCGCGAGAGTCACGCAGCCGACTGAAAACGACACCAATACTTGCGTCTAGCTTTGGCTTTGGCAAAAAAAACAGTATTTACTAATAGCATTTCCTGAGCATTGAAATGAGACACATGTCTCATCCTGCTTTATATATATCTCTCCTTCCAAGTCTCCCACAATATTTCCTTAAAAGAATCATCAATAAAAGCTTCTTTTCCAGATAAGAATACCTTATGTATTCACCGTACCTACACTTTCTGGGCACACAGGCTATTTATCTATTTCAGTATTAGCTTGATATATCCCTAGCACTGTTAAGAATCCTCATTTTCAGATATAAAATAGGCTGAAACTTCAAATATTCCTTTAAGCTTAACTTTTGATAATGATTACTTTTAAGTATAAGTTGAAGAAAATGTGGTAAGTTGTCTGATAGATAAAATCATAGGTAGAGATTAMGCTTTTATTGCTTTCTAAGCATCTTGGCCGATTCTTATATTAAAATACTAGCAACATCCAGCAGGTATTCTGCATCTAATAAAAGAATTCTCTTGCATCCTGGTGGTAGGATCAGTGAGTCACAGCACTCATCAACAAGCTCACATCATATAATATTTAACAGATTTTAATGACATTACTAGACCTATGAAGTTTTCTCCTGCTGCTGGCATAAGGTTTCTTCTGAATGCAAACTGAAGATCTGGAGCAGCCTAATGTGATTAATTTGACACATGACCATAGAATAATACTTTTCTTTCTACTGGTTTTCCAGGCTTTCTCATAGCAGTYGTAGGTAAAATATAGACCTAGATCACCACAGTCTTCTAAGAAAGCCCCAAAAGATATTACCTGACCTCATTTTACAGAAATAGTTAGCAGAAATGATTTTTTTAAGTAAAAAAAAAAAAAACAATTTCAGTTCCCTTGATATCAGAGAGTAGCAAAACAAGTCAATTTTGCATCTTCCTTACAACTACTTGTCTAGTTTCCATTATGTCTAGCTTCTTATCTAGCAAATTYTATTTATAGTTTTCCTTCACTCCAGAACAGACTTTAGTAGAATTCTGTCCTTAGCAGAACTTTTAGAACTATAAAGTTTTGAACAGACTGCAAACACTTCAAAATGTGCATTAACTGTGTTCTCCATTTCYGCTGTAAAACGTGCACCATTATACTCTCATAGAGATGCACAGTATCTGAAAGCAAAGTCAAAAAACTTAAACAAAAAGAAGAAGGATGAGTATGTTAAGGAAATAAATAGTCTTAAGCACTGCAGAAAAAAATGTAAAGATACATATTCAGTAGGCTAAAGGTTTGGTATGGCAGTATAGGCCACACATTTAACTTATAGCAAAGAGGAATTTAAGCAGATAAATTGGAATCAGTAGTGATGAAACACAAATTGTTGAATTCCCCAAAACATCTTCTGAAATTCTAGACAAAATTCTAGTAATTGTCATCTCAAACTCATCTGTAAGGGAAGCTCAACAGAAAAAAAAAAAAAGCATCATATCTTTTCAGGTTAGAGGGTTATGTTACCCAAGAAACGTCAGGTAACTACAACATTGCTCCCAACTCTGTATAATATTGTCACACACTTAAAGTCATAGCAAGTTTAATTTAAAAAGGCCATAAAACAGAACAAAAGTATTCCTTTAGTTTTTCCTCTTTAAAGAGAAGACAACTTACATCTACTTAAGGAGCCTGCAAGAACTGGAATGTGGTCATCATCTTTTCCTAGTCTAGACTTCAGAGCTTCACTCAGTTGGTCATAGCATGTAAAATAAACTACAGTGGTAGGAAGTGCCATTATTCTACAATATAAAAGAGGGAATCTTAGTACAAGGAAAACAGGATCATAATTGAAATTATCATCTTGTATTAATATTTTGCTTAATTGAGAAAGTCACACTTTCAACTATGTATCAGTGGAAGAAGAAAAAGCATTTACCCAATGGCTTTGATTCACTGCCTTTAGTTCACAGTTTCAAATTCACAAGCACCTCCCTTTTTTGTTTTTCATTTCATTACGAGAAACATTAGGGAAAGTGACGTCAGAGTGATCTAAGCCAAAATACATTTCACGTCAGCTTTAGAATTTCTGTAAAGCTATGGAATTAAAGAATCTGAATATGAAGCAGGCAAACACAAAACTTAATGGAAATACCTACAGGAAGTAGGTACTTTCTTAGTATTCTTTCTTATGTTCATAACATATTCTTAGGCTATGTCTCATTCAACATGGGTCCCATTTTTGAAATACTGTGGGGTGAATGAATCTAAGCTTTTTCCATTCTTCAAAACAGTATCGGCCACAATACCAACAGTTGCAAAATTACCATTATATTTATGTAGGCAATCTGTGTCAGTGTAACATGCAATATTATTACCAAAAACCTGTGAAGACTCTAATGCATGGAACACCAACAAGCCATAGTTTAGATCTCTCAAAATCTATGCATCTCCAGTCAAGAAGCTGGTTCTTCTCTAAAGGAGTACAGAACATACCTCGAAACAAAACAAAGCAACCAACCAAACCAATAAACAAACAAACCTCGCTGCATTGGCTGAAATACAAACCCCTTACTTCATCTAGATCCTGAAGCTTTATTTTTGAAAATAGCCCCATGCTGCAGGACAGCAAGCAGAGGCTTCCCTGTGCCTTGCCTCTCTGTTTCTGTATGAGCACTGTATGCAAAGCAGAAGTGCACCAGTGCTTGTGAACTTGTACTTGGAACAGGAGGACTCTCACCCAACATTCAGTGACTTACAAGATCTGGAGGTTGCTTTGATAATCTACATGCCAGATCTGACCACTTTCTTGSATGGTTCCACAGAGGAAAATTGAGTTACAGAGGTTTTAATTAGTATCCTTCCTAGGTTGTTATGAACAGCAAGATAAAACAGATGGGGTTAGCCTGAAGAAGAGAAGACTGAGAAGAGATATGATAGCAATGTTAAATTATGTAAAGGGCTCTTGTAAAGACAAAACGAATGAACCATTTTCCACAAATAAATTGGATAGGATAAAACAATTCCTTGAAATTCCTTGAAATAAATGAGATTCTAGTTAGACACTATTTTTTWAAGTAGAAATAATGAGGTTCAAGATGGGAGCATCTGTGCAGATAGCTGGGTTGCTCATTGCAGAACATTAAGAACAAGCTGGGATTGCAAGTGTCTGTCAACAAATGTTTAACAATCATGTCAGGCCTGATGACCCAATGATGCTACYAAGGGGATGATTCTATCTTTGAAGGTTAGAATGGAAAGTCTCATGTCCCTGCTTAAAAACCATGGACATATCAAAGAGGTTAAAAGGAGAAATTTGAAAATCTGGCTGAAATTACACTGTATCTAGAGGTTTCTGATCAAACCCTATTTGTAACTTGAGAATATACCTTTTTTTTAAATCACTTTAAAATAAACATGCTCATTTGTCTTAGTAATGAAGTATCCTTCATGACCATAATCTGTAAGTGGTTAAAACAAATACAAAAAAAACCAACTTACAGTGTTGGGGCAAGTCCACTCCACAGTGATTTAATTCCTTCCATTTGAACGATTTTTACAAAAGCATCCTACAAATATAACCAAGGAAAGAACAATGATCAGTTACAAAACTTTGCTAGTCAGGAGCAATATTGCATCACACAGAACACAAAATTAATTTATTAAAAAGTAAGTTTTAAAAATGTATCACTGAGAACTCAAAGTTGTATCACTTATACTAACATAAGCAATTTAATCATACAAATAATTCCACTGAGCTAAACAGAAATAGACATGTGTCTGAAATCAAGAATTTTCTTCCATCTTTAAAGGACAAAAACATGAAGTTATTATCAACAACTGACAGCACTGTGAATAAGCTGTTTTCAGAACCAACACAGCATAGTAGCAACTTGTGGAAGCTCCCCCAAAGCAATTCACCAAGATATATTTTAATAAATACTACTAGCTCTAACTACAAAACAGCAATTCACTCATCACTCTTTAAAACCTGCTTTCTGTGGCAACTGGAGGACATGTGCAGTGCAGATGGTTTGGCTGGTTCTATTTTGTGCACCTGTATGTTCGGAGTTCTTCAACTATTATCCTAACTGTGCCATGTATTTCCCAGGCCACTGGCAGCAGAGAAGCAGTGATCCTTGAAGGTCAATCAGTATCATCTTATGGAATTAGTGAGCTGGTACCTTGTGTGGAAGGCAGTGCAGCTGCTCTCTACATAATCCCAAGAAAGGAATTAGTATTTTCACATGGGGAGGGTATCATTAGTCACCTACCTTATACTGTATAACAATATGGATACTCTCTCAATGACAACAGTTTCTACCAGAAGTTAAAATAAAATAAAATGTATAGTAATGTTTTCACTGCACAGTTTCAAATAAATATAAAATGTTCTTACCAATGTCCCTTTGAAATGCCCAGGTTTTTTATACCAGGCTTTGCTGTCCCCATTCTCACAAATACATATATGATCCATAAGGCCATTGGAGTATACAAAACACTTTCCTAATAAAATGACATATAAGAATATGGTTAATGCCTCTAAGACTTCTTATTGAGCAGCATTTCAGGACYGTACATAATGGAAACATACATTTATCTCTGGCTGGATAAACTAACACAGAATGATCTTGGAAAGTGACTAACAAAAATTAGGTAAAAGTAAGGAGGAAACAAATACATCCCTTAAGAGTTGACAAATACATCCCTTAGGAGGCTAAATGCAACTGCTTTCACAGGCTCCAAGAGACAAGTTTATGTTACACCACGACCTGCTGAAGACTGAAAAATAACATAGAACCTCGCTATCACGAGATAACTTTATGTAACTTTGTGAACATCTTCSAAACTTTAAAATCTTTTATTAAGTATTCTCAGCAGCCACATCACAGGTAGAGGCTTTACATCTTAGGCTGGACTATATTTCTACTGGATTTCCTTTTCTTCTTGTTTTTGATTTCCTCTACACTATATGTGCTGAATATAAAATATATTGCTCCCATTATAAACATATGCTTTGAGCCTTATGTTAAGTTTTCAGAATTCCAAAGGTTTACAATTTACTAAATAACCAAGATACACAGCAAAGTGTTTTCAGATTTATAGCAAGGATGACTCCAAATAACCCTCTTCATGTGGTTCATATGGATTTTCTACACCTATCTTTATTCTTTCTACATCCATCTTTCTTGATAAATGTCTTATATATAATTACAACTGACTAGTGGCAATTATTGGTGTATTTTTGAGGGTACRGTATGTTCATTTATTTAGAACTCAAGCGATAAGTGACAGGTAAGATTTACTGCTCCTTTCAGAGCTCTCTGGATTCTGGAGAAGATAGACTGGTAGAGTACTCTGAACATGATAGATAATTCTGATAGATCATTTAGCTATTTACCAATACCTTTATATATATATATATATTATTTACTCAAGTGAGCATTAATTGTACATTGTCATAATTAAAATACTAGGAAAGAGAAAATTGCCTGTTTAAAATGGCATATATTTGTGAGATTTCTTTCCTGCATCTCTCTTCAGTAGTACCTTCTTTTTTTATTTTTTTTTTAGCAATTTCAATGTATTTTCTGTTTTGCTTCTCCTACCYCTTCACTTACCATGCAGAAGCAAATATTACTATAGGCAAACTAAATACAGTCCAGCATTACAGGAACTATATGTACAGGAACTATATGTACAAGAGCTATATGTAACATGAAAGAGCAAAATGGGTGCTTAATTACCCTACACGTTTATTTACCTTTGGAGAATGGATTGCTTTGGGCTTGCAATCGAATTTTGACGACATCAAGAGGAGCTACTAAAACAAAACAAAGAAGTCACTTATAAACAGGCTGCATGCCATTAAAGCACAGAAGTACAGATGCCTTAACATGAACTTGCACAAATAAAGTTTAGACACTTCACATTCTTATTTCTAAATGTAGGAATCTAAAAATGGCTCTTGCAGTTCAACTTAGTTGCCTAAACTTAGGCATCTAGTAGAATTTTTGATACTTGTACATTCTGCTTGGTCTCCCAGCTCTCATTGMAAAAAGGAACTGCTCTTCTATAGCTTCTATATTCTAGACTCTATAGAGTCTTAGCCAGACTCTGCTAAAGTCTTCAAACCTGCATTAGGGAATCAAATCTGCATTAGAATCTTATCAAAGAGCAGTTGAATTCCATCTGGGGAGGTGCAAAAGTGTGTGCTAGCTTTGTTTTCTACATCATTGTGCCTCAGAAATAGCAGCGTTAAAAGTCAGAATCCAAAGCTGGGTTATCCGAAAGTGTTCCTGAAATATGAAGTATAAGCTAATGAGCTCCAACATCCCCAGGGATGTGAAGCACTGAAGCGCTGTTCTTAGCTACACATGGGGATGGAAGTTCTGAGCCAGATGACTGAATAAGAGGTAGGAGCTGAATTTCATTAGACTGCCCAAAAGTTAGAAAAACTAGGAAAAAAAAAAAAAAGGAAAATAATGATAAAAGGCACAACCGGGTAGAACATCACAGCAAAATAAACTGATGTTACTACTTAAGTGGTAACATGATGCGGACTCTCACAGAGGAATTCATATCCTGTAAAGCAGATATTAATTTAAAATCTATTTTTAAGCACTAGCAAATATGAAAAGCCATTTTGTTTCTTAGAGAGAGAAAGCAATGAATTACTACACCAATTTAAAAATAAAAGACATAGAAAAGAAAGGTTGAATAAAATTATTATTTTTTAGAAATGGTCAAAGATTGAGTTAGATTGAAAATATTTCTATTAATTATGGSATTTGTTACAAAGTACAAAATAATAAGAAAACTATATTCATATACATATACACAGACATCTTGCTAGCTCCAACTGATGACCAAACACCTTCCAAAGATTTACTCTATGGCAAGCTTAATAGTTTGCCTTACCAAAAAATGATGTAATTATAGCTCCAAAACAAGATGCTATTGCTTGCTGAATAGTAGTTATTTTATTTACGTTTCTATCACCCATTTCAGCCATAACTTTATCCTCAGAGAAGGAAAACCTGTTAAGGAACAGAAAAATATATTACAAAACTATTTTCAAAACTTACAGAACATAGAATGATTTTTTTTATGAATACACTATATATAAATAACAATTTATATRTAAATAACAATTTTCTACTTGCTTTACAAAATCCTTTTTTTTTCAAATTGCATTATTTGCTTTTAAAATAATCTAAATTTAATAAATAGAATAAATCTTCGACATCATTCCTATATGGATTACAATGTTTAGGTTTTTGTAAATGATGTTAAACAATATGTATCACTTCTTGCTGCAACAAAAGGATTTAGGAGCATGCAAATTTGTTGTACAACAATAAATGTGGAGTCTGTGGCTTATAAACTGCAGTGTGGCAGAATAATTTATCTTGCTCCCTTAATTTTGTCATTCCTGTGAGAAAAACAAGAAAAAATGGATTTTTTTTTTCCTTATGTAGATGCTTGAAGAGTACAGATGGGTTTGTTTTCTGTAGTTTCCTTTGGAGATTCCTACTGAATTAGGACAACAGCTGAAATCTCTGATGTCAACACTTTTCTGCAGCCTTTTGAGCTGTGCAGCAGCYCAGACAAGCTGCACACCGCAGCCAGGACGTGAAGAGAGCACAAGATTTGCCCTAAATTTGGCGCTCTTTCCTCTCCCGTTACGACTTCATGTTCCAAAAGGGCAGAAAACASTTCAGGTAAAGGCCTCCAAGGTGACCATTTAGGTAAATGATCTTTAATTTGTCATTTCCTGAGAATGGAAAGGTTGACTGAGATAAGGTTAAAAACAAAACAATTGGGATATATATATGTATATGTATATGTATGTATGTATGTGTGTGTGTATATGTGTGTGTACATATATATATATAGATAGATAGATAGATAGATAGATATAGTAGCTGAAAGGCCAACCTGCAAGTGGATTGGGCCTTTTTTGCTATCACCGGTAGGATTACAACATGAACTCGTAGAGGATACATAAACCCAGCTGACTCAGTGACCTCTGACACCGTTAACGTATGAAACTTTTAAAAAAAGAAAAAGAAAAAAAAARAARRAARRAAAAAAAAAGCCTGACAGAGCCGGCCCTGTCCGGCGGCTGCGCTCCCGGCCGTTGCCGCCGGGCGGGCTCTCCTTGCGAAGGCGGCGGCCGACGGCGCCGAGCGCCGCCGCG